TCCTCGTATTCCTCCGTTCTCCTCTGGATACGTTCCTGTCTATGCCTCCTCTTGTTTCTTAGCTTCTTCATAAAGCTCTTGTGTCTTGCACTATGTTTTGTTTTACTCCTCCAGGTGCGACTGCTATCATACCTATCAGAGATACCATTTGCTTTCACTTCTGCTTGATATTCTCGCACCATTTTGGAGGTGTGGTTGAACATTAACCCCGCCTTGTTAATTAATTATCCAGTCCTAGCCACACCTACTTTTCATTTTGCCTTTCAGAATGGCTCAAGTTGTTGAGCTGCCCTTGTGCCCTGTCCGCCATGTCGTGGTGTATGCTGATAGAGCTGAAGTCACAAGAGAGATTAGCCTCAAAGACGTAGAGGCAGGAGAAAATGAAGTGACTCTTAACAACATATCAAAAGTCATTGACAAGTGAGTGAAAAATAGAAAAATATTTACTTTATGACTGCTACCACTGCTATAACTTGCTTTAATGGACTCTGTGTGTGTGTATTATTATTATTATTATTATTATTATTATTATTATTATTAGGGATTCTGTTCGTATTGATGGAACAGGGGCTGCATCAATAATGGAGGTATCATTTCAAGACATACCTGTCACTGAAGAGCAAGACAACCAATCTGAGCTGAAGGTGGATATTATACTGCAGCTCAATATTGCAGTTTTTAAATGCACACTAATCACTTATAGTACTACCCTCTTTATAAGGAGGTGACACTATGCCCATGAATTATTTAATACCATTGAGCACACCCAACTGTATGGATTACCTGTTAATTAGCTGGGTTCAGTAAAATGCTTTTGCAATCATGTTAAGTAGTTAATTCTTAGATGATAATTACTAATTACATTATTGTGTGTATACATCTATTCTTTTAATTATTTTTTCTCTCTCTCCTGTAGGAAGAAGTCCATCAGTTAGAAGAGGAATTGACAGAATTGGACAAAAAGTTCAACATTTCCACAAAAAGGAAAGACAGGCTGGAGGAGCAAACAGATCTCCTTGATAAGTACACAAACACTTTAGTCTCCTCTGGTAAAGGTGCTGGGCCAGTTGAGCTTGTCAGCAGAGACACAATAGGTATATTTAAAGAAGATCTTTTTGCTCCTCAATATTGTTTTTTAAAGAGATTAGAGTGTTATAGATGGTATTTTTGAGGATGATAAACTTTAAACTTTCTGCTATAACATAGTGGTTTACATTTAATATAGCTATGCAATATAGCCTTTTATAGTTTTAGTTACTCTATTATTATGAAGAATAACAAATTCAAGTGTTTTGTATTCACAGTGATTCATCCATTCATTATTCAGATAATGTCTTCTCTTTCATGGACACTTTTGAAAATGAGTCGATGGAGCTTATGACAAAGAAGACTGACAATGAAGAAGAGAGAAAGAAGTTGAGCAAAAGGAGAGAAGAGGTATCTGTTTAAATTCTACCTCTAATGATTCTTTAAATTAATACGGTTGGTAGGTGAAAAATAGACTCTCAAATTTGAAGCCAAAGATAAGGACAGATGAGAATGCTGTCATCAAGCAAACTGTCATTGGTATTATGCTAGCAGTTAAGGAAAGAGGAGACATTAAGCTACTGGTGAGAAGATTGATGAAAAGTACATGTACTTTTAGTTTTGGCATTTTCAATTATTGCAATTAAATAACTAACAATAATGATTCTGAGTACAAATTTTTGAGTTATGAACATTTGAAAATCATTAAAAATTTTTTTATCACACCTTTCTCTTCCCTATTGCCCAGGTATCCTATGTTGTTACCAATGCTCA